TAAAATATGATTTATATTTTTATAATAGTTTTATTAAAAAAGTAAAAATAATAATAACTAAAATAAAAGTAATAATAATAAAAATAAAAATAATATTTAAAATCACATTTAATATACTTAAATATATAATATTATATTAAAATATTAAATTAAATAAATATTAAAATTTAAATGAAAAAAAAGTTTTAAAAAATTTGTTAATCGATATAGAAATATGATAATATATGATACGAACATGGATATCCGATTAACAAATTTTTCTAAAATTAGGTTTTTTATTTAAATTTAATAATTATTTAATTTAATTTAATATATTAAATGTGATTTTAATATTATTTTTATTTTTTTATTATTATTTTTATTTTAGTTATTTTTTTATTTTTTAATAAAATTATTACAAAAATATAGATTATATTTTAATAATTATTAAAGTATAAAAATATAATAAATAATATTATAATTTTCAATTAATTGCAATATTTGTTAAATTTTAAATAAAAAAACTGTTAGCATATTTAAAAATTTTGTTTTTATTTAAAATTTAATAATTGTTTAATTTATTTTAATATATCAAATCAAATTTTATATTATTATTAATATTTCATTAAATTATTTTTTATTTTTATTTTATTTTAATTATTTTATTTTTATTTTTTAATATAACATTTATTATAATATACATCATATTTTAATAATTATTAAATATAAAATTATATTAAATAATATTTAAATTTTAAATTAAATTATATTATTATTAAGGTGGTACAGAGTGTCTTAAATAAGAAAGAGAAGAAAATAAAAAGATATTTATTAGAGTGCTTTAATAAGAAAGATAAGAAAATAAAAATATATTTATTAAAGTTAAAAAGAAAATTTTTGAAAAAGTTAGAAGTGTAGGTTTAAATATTATAAGGTTAAAAGTGAAATTCTTTTAGGTTTAGGATGAGATGTTGGAGGTGTAGGATGAAGTGTCCAAGTCATAGGCCTACCTATGTTGCTCGAGAGGGTTACTCTCTACACCACCCTACATTGCTCTCTCCACCACCTTATTTTTATAAAATTACAAAACTATATTTTATATTTTAAAAAATCCTACACTCCCACTTCTTTTCATCAACAGATGTGGATATTTATTGAAGAAAAAATTCTTCAATGGATGTGGCCATATTTGTTCAAGTGTTTTTTTTAGTTTTTATTTTATTAAAATATTATATTTTAAATTAATTAATAGAGTATTTAAATTATTTTGTTTTTTATGATATATTACGTAATTATATATAAATTTATTTTATTTTATTTAATTAAATAATAATTATTAATTTAAATAAATTATATTATTTTTTAATTAATTTTGTTAAACGGATATGCCATGTTCTTACAGATGGGACAACATCTATTGAAGTTTTTTTTTAATTTTTAGTTTATTAAAATATTATATTTTAAATTAATTTATAGTATTTAAATTTTTTTGTTTTTTTATAATGTATTATATAATTATATGTAAATTGATTTTATTTTATTTAGTTAAATAATAATTATTAATTTAATTTAATTATATTATTTTTTAATTAATTTTATTAAACGGATATTAACGGACTATTCGTTGAAGTTTTTTTAGTTTTTAGTTTATAAAAATATTATATTTTAAAAATAACTTTTAGAATATTTAATTTTTTATTGTTTTTATAATATATTACGTAATTATATAGAAATTAATTGTATTTAATTTAATCAAATAGTAATTATTATTTTAATTAAATTATATTATTTTTAATTAATTTTGTTAAACAGATATTATATGTGATCACATATAGTTCAAGTTTTTTTTTTTAGTTTATTAAAATATTATATTTAAATATTTAATTTTTTTTTTATTTTTTATAATATATTACGTGATAATATATAAATTAATTTTATTTTATTTAATAAAATAATTATATAGATTAAACAGAAAACTTAAACGAATGTTGTATATCTGTTGAAAATTTCGGATGTAATATATCTGATGAAAATTTTTTTCTCCAACAGATGTAATATATCTGTTAAAAAAATTTTTCTTCAACGAATGAAGTCTATGATTTCTTAAAATATAAAGAATAATTTTAAAATTTTAAAAAATGTGGTGGTCCAGGAAGTAACGTGAAACAGTGTAGGAAGTAACCTCTTTCGGTACAAGGAATTGGCCCAGGTGTGGGCCGAGCTCACTTTCCCATCGTATCTCAGCCCATCTTATTATTTCTCAACTTCACTGAACTTCCTCCAGAACTGATTTACCCTGCGTCTTCAAAGCATATATATAATATCTTCAATTCTTGTATAAATTCTTTATTGTGTTGCCATTTTCTTTATGAACAGTAAATTCCCAACTTTCAAACCTGACCATAAAGTTTAAAGTTATCATCATATAATGAATTTTATTATGTTATTTTTAGCTAATATATTAGTGAAACTGCAATATAAAATATGTACAAAAATATCTATAGTATTAAAAAGGCTAAATCAGTTATTTAAGATTACGTTTTAAAAAAAAATTACTTTCAACCCCCAAAAATGATGAAATGTGTATAAAGTTTTCATTTCATAAAAAAGGTAAACAGAGAGATAGCCAGTGATAAGGACACAATTCACACGTTTTAGTTGAGGATTAACTCCTGACTTCTTTTTTTTAACTCTGACTATTTAGTATATATTATTTTTTTTTCTTTTTTGGGAGCTTATAAGAACGAATCTAATTATTACATAACAATTTTATTTTTTTCATTTAAATACAAAAGGATAAAATAAAATAAAAAATGAGGAATTGGAAATTATGCATTAATATTAAAACGGTTTTAAGTTTTTGAGAGTATTAGTTTGATATTTAGTTTATAAAAGGAAGGTACAAAAGAAATACCAAGAAAACAATTTTTTAAGAAAATAAGATAAACAATAAGATTAGGCCAATAAAACATACTAATGTACCATTAGAAGCATTATGCTATATTAAAATAGAAAATTTTTAAAATACATATAACGTTAATAATAAGATTATTTTTTAAAACTTATCTGCGATTAATTATATGTTTCAGCAATTAAATGGAAAAAAGTCAGTGATGTTGAAAATAATAGATTATAAAATAAAATTGAACAATTCATACATATTTATATCTAAAATTTTCAAGTGTAGTTGTCAAGATTCAAACATAAAATTTGACCGAGACTGCAAAATATCTACACTCAGCACTCAGTCGGAAATGTCATTAACACCAATCAATCACTAATCACGTGCTTATATATCGCAATCATTTTTTTTTTCAGTTTTATCGGGATATAGTTGTAGTTGTTGTTTTGTAATGATATTTGGAAATTTAGCCTGTAATTTCAATGATTATTTTCCTGGTAGTTTATAAGCATAAAATTGATATATATTTTATTCTTTTTCAAGGGAGATTTACATTTCTTACGTTTTTTTATTATTGTGAAGAAAAAAACGTATTGGTGAAGTAAGCGAAGAAATTCATAATTAATGAATATGTAACAAAATGAAATAATTTTTATAAACATAAATAATGGAAATTAAAATTTGAAGTAAATAAAATAATCCCGCGATGTAGTTTTACGCTGACGAGCATTCACAGTCACATGTTCCTTAAGGTTTGTCACAAGATTTTGTAACTTTTTGGTCTTGCCTTCAATTCGGGTTAACCCACGAACCACAAAGTAAGGTTTAATTTTAACCTCAACTACCTGTTACCTTTTTCTTCTTAAACACAAATAAATATCGTTCAGAGATTAAACAAGAAAAGAGTAAAAATCAACTATTAAATAACAAATGTGAAAGTAAAGTAGTCAGTATTTATAAATGGAATTAATTTAAAACATACTATTAACATATATTGAATGCTTCTTAACCTGTTTCTTTCAAATTCAATGATATCAACTTAAACCCGTTTTGAATATAATTTTTTTTGTAATAAAAAATAAAATAACATTAGAGTGTGTTTGAAATTAAACTAAACATGTCTTTATTGAGCTTAACGACAAATTAATTTAGAATGTTAATAATTAGAAGTCTTCTTCCTTTGTATTTGAGACTTTGAGTACACGAAAGGCAGCAACAAACTCGCAAGTTGCAACGCAATAATAATAATCCATCCCCAACAACGCACGCAAATGTTAAATCATATTAATAAGCGATTACAATTAATGTCAAACATCCATCTCTTTCTGCCTCATCGTAATCTTATAACCTTAAATATTTCACCTTTTCTTAAACGTAATCTTTCTTTCTTTCTTATGTTTTATTTTTCCTTTCTAAACTTCCAGCCGGAATTCCAAATTAGCATGGGATCTTCGAGGCTATAACGTAACACACACACATATACATAATATAAAAAAACCTTGAAAATGCACGGAATTCACTACATGCAAGTATAATTTTTTCTTTCTATTTCTATTTAAAGGGCGTAACAATCATAAACCGGGAATGGTTAATTAACTAACCAATGGATCAATACCAAAATCAATTCTTCTAATTTTAACTCACCAAGATTAGCACTCATTTTGACCATGTTTAATGCTTTCAAGTTAATCATGTCTGCCATCAAAACAAAGAAATCCTGTGTGTATTACTATATTTTCTAAAGAGTAAACAGAAAAATAAGACTACTTCATGTGTTTGAATAGATCGATTTTGTAGCAATGACTATCACTTGAATTTATGTTGATGTTTCTGCTTTCATCATTATTCTTTTCGATATGCAAAACCTGAACTGAAAATTTGGTTTAAAAATTGGAGAGTGTAGTTATAGTCTCACTATGAAGATGTTGCTGTTCATGCTGTATTCTAAAACTGCACGGTCGAATATGTAGATTATATAAATGAGGAAGAGAGATACAAGTAAAGTATAAATTAACAATGAAAAGTTGAAGTTGCAAGGAAAGCATGGAGGAGCAATTAACCAATTAATAGTAATATATAATATATATATATATATATATATATATATATATATATATATAGTAACTAAGGTAGGAATTAAGTGAAGGTAGTGTGAGAGTGATATTGAACTTGATCAGTGCAGAATGGTAGCCATGGCAACCTCCCCAAGTTTCTGAAGGTTAAGCTTAACGACGGTGTCCGCAAACATCTTGGTATCAACTCCGGTGTTCCCTTCGGGAATGTCCACAACGTAGGATTCCAACACAACGGTGTAAACCTTACCGTCCTTGTTGAACTCGTTCACCGACGTCACGGAGCGGTAGTTGTGGAGCCTGTGCTCGCCGCCGACCACGCGGAAGCTGAGCAGGTGGTTGACGTCGTCGAGAATCTCGAGGCGCTCGGTGCTGGTGGAGGCAGGGAGGCCAGACACCACGGTGACCTCCCGGATGCTGCCGACGCCGCCGTCGCCGGAGCGCATGTTGCAGCTCTTGATGAAGTGCTTGTACTTCTGCGGGTTGTCGAAGCTTCGAACGAGGGGCCAGACCGTGTGCGCGGGAGCCTCGATACGCTGCGCTATGATGGAGGTGCAGATTTTGGGGGATGGCGCGAACTTGTGGTGCGTGTTGATGATGCTCTCCAGTTCGGTGAATTCCTCTACGGTTAGACCTAGCTCAAGCAGTGCTTCTGAAGCCATAACGGTTAGTTTTCTTTTGATTTGGCCTTTGGGCTTTGCTTTGTGTGTCTGGTTTTTTGAGAGCGTTTCCTACTGTAACCGAGGCAAAGGATGTTCGTGTTCTTCTTCTTCGTCTTCATTCATGAAAACCAGATGAATAGTGAACGTCAAATCCAACAACACGTTTCCTGACGTGACTCTTATTTATCTTTCACCCTTACTTTACTATGCCTCTTTTCTTTTAGACAGATATGCCCTCCATAATTTTTATTAAAATTATGAAACTTGCACTCCGATTTTTTATGTTTTATTGAATCAATTA